GGTCCAGGGGCCCCCGGGCACATCCTTTTTCCATTTTCCCTGGGAAAGAAAACTCAGCAGTCCAGGTTCCTGATGTCAGTTTGTAGGGCTCCCTTGGGTGTATCAGGGCAGCAAATGGAGAACATACTGATCAAAGATAAAGTGAACATCCAAAGATACTAGAATACAGGCTAATTTACATTGCAAGTATCAAGTAGATGTCTTCACTGAGAGTTCCAGAGATCAGATTTCACAGCTGAAGGACAGAGATGAAAATGAGTATATTTATACAAGTAAGCTTTTGTCACTATTTTGTCTCTGGGCAAATTGGATAGAAGATAAACAGGTTTGATAAAAGTGTCTTGCTGCAACTTTTGCACAGCTTCTCAAGCCACCCACTTGCCTGAAGAGAAACATTGCCACCAAATCTAGTCCATGAACCACAGTCAGGCCATACCCTTTACTTTCCATGGATCATGCTGAAAATAAATCCTAGAGAGCCAGTTCTCAGATACAGGAGCACATATTCTTGCTCCAGGGAACTTTATGCACACATTTTCCTTGACAGAAAAGATGACCAGGGCTAATCTCTCCTTCAGCTTTAAAGCATACTGGACAACACTGAGTCTGGATCTCTTCTCAGAATTAATTTCCCTTGAGAAATTCAAAAGGGCAGAAACATGTAGACACCGTGGACAGGTGTGGTTTTTACCATCACTGATTTTGTAGCTAAAACAACAACCTGTGTCCTGGTAGCTCTGTACATGAAGCAGGATCTAGAATTCTGATGTGCTTTTATTACATGTATCACTCCCAGAATTGCCAACCTGGACAGCTGGCAAAGCCAAACATAACATCAATATTCTCAGAAAACAGATGCATTTTAAATTGCCTCTACTTGTCACACCAAATGGATCTTCACCAAGACAATCCTTATCTTTGTTACTCTTCTCCAAAATGGAATTTGCTTCCATTTGCAATTCTGTATAAACCCACCAGCACTTGGACACTGTCTAACTTTTCTCACCCCTTCATGGATACTTTCAGGTGCAACAGACCCAGGTGGAAAGAAAGGATTTGTTATGTGTTTGTTATCTCAGCCACTGCTACAAATTCCTGATGGAAAACTACACAGAAAGGACAGTTTGGGAAGGGAGGTTCTATAAAATGGACTATCCACAAACACAGTGTCTCCTCAAAAACCCCAACTGCCACCTTCTTCTATGGTAGGGTAACAGAAATCATGGATGTCATGTTCTCTGAAGTTTAAGTCAGAGCAGCTGCTTCCCTCTTTGTTTTGCACAGAGTGCACCTGGGTAGCAACACACACATTACATAATAGTAAGTCAGAAACTGAAAGGAGCCAGATTGCTAAACCCTTCTATGCGGATGAGATTTTTTATTTCCATCACCTGATAATTTAATTGCTCAATTAACTCTGCCTGAATGCCTTGGCTGTGGAAGAGGAATGTTCCCTTGCAGGTCATGGTAAGCCAGACAGGAGGCAAGGAAGCAATGCAAAGGTAAATGATTCCTCTACAGCAAACCAAATGCATCATCCAATTGTATTTTCTCTCCTGCTCTGCTCCTTCCTCCTCGTGCTTTAGGGACAGAACAAGCACCAGACAAATAAAATACCATAAAACTCTGGTAAAACCAGTATCATAGGCCTCATCAACATGGTTTAAATCCAAAACTTTCTTAGTCAATTCAAACCTAGCTCAGACATTTATTTTTGCATTTCTGAAACTCCATAATATGGCTAATTTAGGTAGCAGAGTAATCTCCTCGAGGAGGACTTTGAGACATCTGCTGCATCACTGAACATGCTACTCTTGTTTTTCTTTACCCAAGAAGCCAGTGGAAAGGTTGCCACTAAAGTGGTACTTACTGACCATCCTGGGGCAGAGTGGGACTGATTGAGGGCCTGTGGATGTAATTCTTGTCCATCAGCAGACCATATCTCAGGGCTTTGGTTCCAATGAACATGCCTGGAACCATTATTGCAGCAAACTACACATAATTTAATCATTTCTTCTTTCATAAATACAGCAGTCAAGTTCACAAACCTGTGTCTCTGTTGTTCATGTCAAAACTTGAGTGCTCCTGTACAATTTATGGATCGTGTTAGATTATGTATTTATATTGTTTCTCATTTATATGTTGGTGGGCAAAAATTTCTATTAAAAATAATTGAAAATTGCTTAGGGATATAGGAGAGTCTATTCCTGGAGACTTTTAAGATTGTCTGCCAGGGTGCTTGAGAGCATGTTAATGTTTTTATATCATGCCTTGGGCCAAGGAGATAACATAGAGGAACTCTGTGACCTTGCAAGATCTTTCCTAGCTATTCCTGGAGCCATTGAATGACAATGACATGGAAAAGCAGCAAGCCAAAACCTAGTAAAAGAGACACTTCTGGTCTGTCTTCTCTGGAAGAAAAAAAAAAGGCAAAGAGGCTGGAAAAGTTTACATCTAACAAAGTAATGAAAGAGAGAAGAGCTTACAATTGAAATCAATGACTACTAAAGGGAAAAACATCCTCTGCTACATGATCCCTTAAGGTCTTGTCATGAACATCAACATTAAGTCCCTACCTGTATTATAATTTTAAACAGCTCCTTCAGCCTCCATTTGTGAACTTCCGCCTGGTAGTGCTCCTTTCTATCCTCATGAGAGCTCACATTAAATCATTTCACAATGAGCCTTTCCTAAATTCCTCCCTGAAGCCATCTCTAAAACATGTAGGGGTGAAACAGAATTTACTTGGCAGATTACTGACCCCCTTCTGCTCATATTTAGGATGCAGTGTCTCCTGAATTCTTGGTCATTAGAAATCATCAGCCTGTTGATTCTACAAGTACTCACCATGCTAGAAAATCCTGTTTCTGCCTCATGCCATGCAAAGCCTGACTGGATGTTACTTTGACCTGAAAAACAAGAAACTAAGTGGGTTTGTAGCCAAACCTCGAGCTGCTGACTATATCTGTGTCAGGAAAAGGTGCATCTTTAGCAATGACATTATATTTAGAATATGTCTTTTCTTAGACAGATCCTTTAAATCAGGGCAGTTCAAAAGAGGTGAATTTAATTAGAAAACATTTATCCCAAATGTCATAATGACAATCTTGGAAATTCAAGATTAATGAAAGCCAGAAAGAAGCTAAAAATACCAGCAACTATACGTAAGCAGCTTGGGAAACAGGTAACAGAAGTAAGAGGCAGTGAGGAACTGGGAAAGAAACCCAAACCAAAACAACCCCCTACTTTCCAGCAGGCAAAAACAATCAGAAGTGTACATTAGTATAAAAACAAATGCATCAATCTATGAAAGCATCTGTAATAATGAGATTGTCCATTATGACATTCATAAGGTAAAATTTCCCAACAGTAATACCAAAAAGGTAGGTATTTCTCATAGTTTTTTTTGGGTTTTTTAATGCAATATATGATTCATATCATATCATAGCTTTAAAACAAACTCAGAGTGACATTTAAAAAGTAGTACTAAAAGTGGGATATTATTGAATCAGCATCCTGGAGCCCTACAAGACATTTGAAGATCTCATTGCCAGTGCTCATCATCTGCAAGTCATTGAAAAATAAGGAAGCTTCATGGATCCAAGAGAAAAACTAATCTTTAGAAGCACAAACAGGACACTCCAGGATGATGACCTCTCATAAGTACTTGGAGACAATAGCCAAGAAACAGCTAAAAAACCCTCTAAGTCTGCACCATGAAAAATTTATTAAAAAACAGGAATAAGTTTAAGTGTCACTATGAAATGGAGAGGATTTGCAAGGAGAGACAAAAAGACCAAAGAAAAGTTACTTATGGACTCTGACTAGAACTTCTCTGCTAGTAAACAAAATATTGTGGCATCAGTAGTGACAGAACTTCAACTAAAAGCAATTTTACTTCCAAAATATTTGGATTAAGGAAATGCAATTATAGCTTAATCTGTTTGGGATACCATCAGAAAATTGCCTTTAAGATGATAATTTTGCCTTTTTACTCCACCTAACTTACGGAAAAATCTGCAGAACACTTCAGTATGAAGGTAGAACATTCTGGAATAACTTGATGATTGTTACTTTAAATATGAGAAGTGTTTCTATTCCATTCTTTGAGATTTTATCATGCAAATCATGCAGAAATGGGTGACTGAACATTCCAAAAGACTTAACTTTTACTCTGTTTGCTTAAGCAAATACTCTGATACCTGTCACCAGTTCAAATTTAATCTTGTCCCAAGGCTAGAAAACAGGTCACAGTAAATTATGTTTGCCTTTTTGTTGTGAAACTTTAATGCATTTTCATACTAAGGACACATGAAATAATTTCTAGGCCAGCTGACTTCACTGGTACCTCTTGACTGCTACAGGATTCTAAGATATTTGCCTTTTTTTGAAGAATGCAAGCACTGAAGGATAATTTGGTCCTTTAATTGTTACATTACCTAGGGACAATTTCTCTAAATGAGCCTGAAAGTAGTGCCAAGTTTTAATTTCACTATTACATGCAAACCTGAACCAGAGCTTCACAGAAAGCCCCACAGTTCTAGTGTGTGAGATCTACAAGCACTGTAGGTTTTATTTTGCATTGGAAGCTCATCAGCTTTCAAGCACATTTCCACATTTATAAAGCAGTTGTGCAGACCCAACACAAATGAATAGGTGGAAAGCTACAGGAAACCAGAGCACTACCAATTACCTGCAATTTAATACTGTTTCTCAGAGAGACAATCACAGAAACAATTGGAAAAGACCTTGAGATCAAGTCCAGCCTATGGCCCATCACCACCTTGGCACCCTGGCTATGGCACACTCCAGCCCCTCAACTAAAATGTAAATTTTAAGGAATTTAGAGATTTTAGAGGAGCTAAGATTTTAGTTAGAGATAAGCTTTACTAGAGTTAATTAAAATAAATGAGTAGGCTTGATGAAGTTAAGAGTTAGTAGTTAACTAATAATTGATTGCTTGACAACACAATGTTCAGTTAGCTGGATTTATAATGAAGAATATATAAACTGACAAATTGCTTTTAGGAACACAAGACAATTGTGGGCCTCCTCTGCTCTGAAACCAATTGAAGACAAGGAATGGGAGTTCTACCTAGAGTTCCTTTGTCATATTTGCATTGAAAGGGTAGAAAGGTCAAAATGAGGAAGACTTCATTGACTTCCTCATTTTGGGACCCCTCCCCATGAAAGGGACACTGACCCATTTCAAGGAACAAACCACTGCATGCTGAACGGCTTTTGGAGTGATTAGCATACAAAGTGAGGAATGGGATGTACCATGAATATGTATTTGTATTTTGGGTATTCAATACTTGTATGGATAAAAGGGTTCTGTAATCACCTGGAAGCTGCGGTGTGGATTTGGGAGCTATAAACACACACTTTCTAACTTTAAACTGTTAGAGAGTTTTTGTCTGTCACAGTTAGATATCAGTACTAGATCAATATCTATTGTAAATGCAGGCGAACCCAATGGGAAGCAATACTGATGTCTGACTCAATTCAGAAGGCTGAACAATTTCTTTATTATAACTATGCTAAAATGCATTAATATACTATATGAAAAGGAAGATACTAAAACTACATACTACTTTAACTCTAACACAACTCATGACTCTCTCTCGAGCCCAGCCACAGATGGATTGGATTGGATTGGATTGGATTGGATTGGATTGGATTGGATTGGATTGGCCATCAGGCTCAAACAATCCTCACCAGAATCCAACCAAACATTCACTCCAGGTAAACAATTCAACAAACACATTCCACATAGGAAAAACAAGGAGCAGAAATGGAAATTGTTTTCTCTTTCATTTCTCTCTGTGCACCTCTGAGAGTGAGAGAAATGTGCTTGCCACATATATCCATATTTTTTTAATAAATCACCACCTCTGCCCTGCGCTGCGGGCCCGGAGCCAGGCACGGCCCCAGCAGAGCGGAGTGCAGGGATGCTCCCAGGGGATGCTGCCCGCACCGCTCCCGGCCCCGGAGGATGCTGAAGGGCAGCCCCGCTGGAGGAGCCTATTAAGCATGTGTAATTTGTTCCTTGAAATGGGCCGGTGTCCCTTTCATGGGGAGGGGTCCCAAAATGAGGAAGTCAATGAAGTCTTCCTCGTTCTGACCTTTCTATCTTTTCAATACAAATATGACAAACTCTAGGTAGAACTCCCATTCCTTGTCTTCAGTTGGTTTCAGAACAGAGGAGGCCACAATTGTGCGGGGCCCGGGGCGGTCACCGGGGGATGCTGGCCGCACCGTTCCCGGTTCCGGAGGATGCTGGCGGAAGGAGCGTGCGGGGCCCGGGGC